TATTTAAACTACTGTATCTGTAATATTTAATGTATCCAGCAACTGTTTCTATACCTTCTTATATCATTATTTTATATCACCTTCGAACAGTTTGAATGATTTTAGGGAACCTTTGACTTTAGCTGTTATTTTACGCCAAACAAAATAGGAAAAAATATAATTGTGTTGTTATTTTAATTGTAGTTTAACCTGATATAAAATAACAACAAGAATAAATAATCTTAATAGTCTTGAGGAAATGGTCCCCAGACTGACAGTTTTGTTTTTATTCATTCAGTTTATTTGATAGATACAGTTTTTCAGAATTGAATCACAATCAGCCAACAAGCAATGTATCACAGTGTTTATAGCTACAGTTAATTTCCAATGCCTGTCAAGGGCCCTTAAAGTTTGAGATCCATGTATTACACTCTGTACTCAGAGTGCCAAAACTGAGAGCGAGCAGCTTTAACAATTAGGAGCCAGAGAAGCTCAGTTGATCGCTCACATGTAGTCACACAATTCCTCTTTCAGTCTCATACACAAGTCTTATTCTGCTCTTACAAATCTCTCAAATGTTGCAGCAGTCTTAGCAGTACACACATTTATTTGTCATTTACTTCCATACTTTTGTCCCCGGATGGCAGATGTGTCCCCACAGTGTGTGTTTAGAATCGTGTCCCCATAAAGTCATTACTACCAGCGAGTCTCTCTCTCTCTCACACACACACAACACCACACACACCACACCCACACACACACACACTGTCTGTGTTTATCTTTCTTAGTTTACAGCATTGTAAAGCAAACACACACACACACTGAGTGATGTCCTCTCTCACCAGGATCTCCATCAACATTCATAATCATCAGCCTTTATTTTCCTCTGCACAGCCACCTTTTGTAAAGATGGATTCCTGAATAACCGTCCTCTATCCGCTTTCACGTTTCTCTCTCCATCAGGCTTCATTGGCCTTAGCCTTCATTTTCTCTCCCTCTCTCATTACCGGTGAGAGCGTCTATTTATTCTCCTCTTCCTCCGTCTCGTCCGCCGCTCCTCGGGCCGCCGAATGAATCCATAAAGTCTTGATTTATGCATCGAGTCTGACTGCACTTTAACTGTCGCCATAAAAACGGGAGAGAAACACGCCGACTTCCTCCTTTCCTTCCTTCCTGTTTACTTCCTCCTTCCCTCGTCTCAGTTTTTTCTGACTCACAACCAATTAAAGAAAACTGTCACAGTAAAAGTTTTTTAGGGTCGAAATCTGCCGACAAATTGCGCGTACATTTGGCAATATGTGAGTTTGATTGAACGTGTGTTTGTGCATAATAGCTTTGGCACTTTCTAATAGAGGTTCATTACTGACAAAACTATCGAGCGAACACAAAACAAATTGGAGCTAGAAATCAACCTGCAAGTCCAGATTTGAGAGCAGCGGAGGAGAGAATCAAAAGTTTAATCAATGTTTTTACAGCAGCTCGTTCTCAATCTCAGAGACTGAGAGCAGAACAAGCTGTCAGATTTTAATTTGAAGCATCTTTGGTGAAATTATGCCTCTGAACTGAGCTCATGTGCCCAGTTTTTGCTAAAATCGATGTCTGGAAAATATCCATGGGGGAATCAGGCAACTTTTGTCAGTTACATTGTGGACCAAACACCAAATGTGACTCATTAACAGACTCATTTGGGCCTAATATGGACCACTTTTGGGACTTACAGCTTAGTTACGGTATTGGCAAGCGTTGTTTTGGTCAGACAAGAGTTCTTGGAAAATTTTGAGACTAGTTTTCCAGTCATGGAAATGTATTAAAATGACTAAATATCTTGGAAATTCACTCGTAGTACTCGTACTCACAGTGCTGTCCTGTATTGTCAAGAAAAACTCCTGGAAAATGTTCTGGAAAAGCTGGACGTAGAGGTTAAAGTGGGCGGGAACAATTGGAATCTGGCACCTTCGATTAAGAAGTAAATGAATGTGACTTGTAGTTTCATGTCATGCAGCTTGGCGTTCCTTTAGTCGGAGGTCAGATTCTTGATTAAGCAGCGTTTATTAGAAGTTTTAACTGACTTTTTACTAGGTATTTTATTTTGAAAGTGTAAGCAGATGTTTGCTTAGTTATTGTTGCTAACCTGATCGTTTTGAAATTACACTATAGGGACACCTATAGCGACATATTTTGAAGCGAAGACCACTGACCAAGCGGCAGTATTTGACCATTTGGGAGTGAGAACGTGTTGTTAGAAGTTTCTAGTGTGAAGAAGTTAAAACACTTGTTGTGCAACCTTTTCCTCAATGAATACAAATATTTTTAAATGTACTGAAAAGACTAAAATTAGTCTTAAAGAGGACAATTTTTCATAGTCGGTATTTAGAGACCTGAAAGACTTGGACTTCCCCCAGAAGACATAAAATCAGCTCTGGATGTACCACAATGAAAGGAGAGAAAATTGCTGGATTTGGCAACTGACTCGTCTGTCACATATTAAACATATATTTATAGATATTTTAGGGTGAAATCAGGATTTTACACTCACTCACTAATTAGATTTCATTACCTTCAGACAGATGTCTGTATTTATGTCCGTACTTGTTCTGTGTTACAGTTTTATCTTGAAGGTAGCCAACATCACCATGACAACACTCAACAGCCATTTCCTGACCCAATCCCTTCACTGTCACGTGACCTAAACGCCTCGTGTGACTGGTTGAAGCACCATTATCGATCAAACCCTCTGGTGAGTTCTACTGCATTTCTTTACTGCACTCTAGTGCATTTTACTGCACTCTAGTGTGTTTCTTTACTGCACTGTACTGCATTTCTTTACTGCACTGTACTGTATTTCTTTACTGCACTCTAGTGCGATCCTTACTGCACTGTACTGCATTTCTTTACTCCAATCTGTGTTTCTTTACTGCACTCTAC